CTCTTCATAGAAAAGGGGATGGTAAGTTTTGTAAGGTGAAGCTGTATGCTATACTTTATTTAATGCCTTACTTGTATGTAAAAAGGCTAAAATAGAGTATCTTTTGCCTTTTTGGGTCATTGCTGAATTTTTTAAACACACAATAAATCTGTTTAACGTGTCCAGGTTTGTTTAAGAAACCAAATTGATGATCAAGTTTTTCTTTTCGTCAGAAATTGCTTCAGTACACCATTCTCTGGTAGTTTAGATAGAATTGACAACAGACTTATTGGCCAATTCGAGTTTAGTTCTTCTGGTTTTAAAACGTTTTTTAAAACGACAATATAAGCAGCTTACTTCGTATATAGTTCAATAAATTAACTTACTGAGAATAGTTGAATTTTGGATGTAGTACTGCTTTTTCAATTTCTCGGAGTTGTGCGTCTGGGCTGCTCACATTGACTACTCCTGCATTTACCTGTAAACATATGAACATTCAAATTAAAAAAAATTCGTATCTATCGAATTTTCATTAGTACTGTGATCAGTAGTACTACAATATATTTAATTTACATACATACTACCATTAAAACATTTGATGAATAACAGAGGTAACTAACGTCGAGTTTTAACCTTGTTTAGGCTTACGCCTCTTCAAGGAACGGGGAACTCCTTTTTTTGACGGAGTTGTGCGAGTTACGAGAAAAACGTCAACTTAAAAAAACGCGGCCTAAGAAGCAGAGAACTGCTTAGGAAAGAAGGGGAAAAGAAGGTGGCCTATTTTGTGATCGATAAGAATCGTGAACGCACAAGAAGAAGTGGGTTTGCCTAGCATGCAGTGAGGTACTTCAGGGTTACCAGCTATACAGTAGGAACGGCTCTTTATCAGCGTTTTTGGTGCGCCGCTTATCTGCGATAATAGATGGAGAAAGATTCTAAAATATCAAAATACTCATCAGGAAGTTCAGGTCCAGCGTTATGTAGAAGTTTAACTGGAGGGAATGGAACTTTCTTGGCGGGATGCCTGGTGAGTATTTGCCCTCTATGTGAACAAGGTGTCTTCAATGTTTGTTTTGCTCGGTTGTTCGAGCCAGCTATGGTTCTTAAGATATACTTCCTACTGAGGGTTAGGATTCTATCCTTGATAGGCGTGATGTTGGTTATTGCATATATGTGTGCCGATGGATACAGCCAATCTTTTCTCATGCAGAAGCATGAGGCATATGATGAATGAAAAATTATTTTTAATTTTTCACTAAATTGATAAACTAAATTGCACTAAATTGAAGTGCTACGTCTGGTCCACTTTGTTCTATGAATGTGAAACCTGGACAAGAAATATAAAAAATCTTAACAAATCAGAAGCATTTGAGTTATGGTGTTACCGTCGCGTGTTCAGAATTCCGTGGTCAGCACACATATCTAACTAACGTGTGCTAGAGACCGTGCACAAAGACCGAGAGTTGACAATATATACAAAGAAGAAAAGAAATTGATAAACGATGAAGCCCTCCAAAACCGCTATATATGAAAGGTATTTTAAAATTTATTCTGTTGATAACCATTCAAAACAAAATGTTAACATAAATATAAAACTATGATCAAAACATGTAATCAACAAACATCAAAACAAAACACAAGTACAAAAAACCTATGATCATAAAACTAAATCATTAGGTTATAATAAAATACAAGTTGTATAAAAAAAAGTTGTATAGTGATAAGAGAGCCACTTTATTAAAGATTGGCATGATAATAATATTTTATAAAACGTATAGCAATGAGCAACGTTTTGGCATTTCTATATTTCCATAAAGCCTTTGTCACGGTAGAATTTGAAAAAATCCTGGAAGCACTACAAGCATGCCGCATTGACTACTGATGTACATTACAAGGTTAATTTACCATACTTACAAAAACGCAACTATTTCGATGAAACTACATAAAAACACAGATTATATCCCAATCGACAGAGGAGTCCGACAGAGTGGACCTTATCACCCAAACTGTTTACAGTAGTACTATAATATGCTTGTAAAAAAGTTAACTGGGAAGAGTAAGGCTTGGACATTGACGGTAGAAGATTGAAAAATTTTAAATTTGCATACGACATAGTTTTGCCTTACGAAGATATGTACAATGCTACATGAATATATTAGTTAGTGTGTGCCAGTGTAGGTCACAATAAAATATCTCCTAATTAAAATTTATGTCAAACCTAGTACATAGCAAAGTCAATATTAAAGACAATGAAGTAAAGTTGGTAAAAAAAATAAATATACCTTGAATACGAAATAAAGATCATAAGAGACAACCAAACATATAAATACAAAGAAGAATAAACCTTTAAAACGTAAAAAAATTGACCAATATGTATTGCCTGTGATGACTTAAGGTGACAAAACTTTGAAATTGACAGCTATAACTTCTAAAACGCTGTAATTAGCTCAGAGGAAAATAAAAATGCTAAGCATATCGCTTCGTGACTAAGTAAGAACTGAAGACTTGAGGACAGGAATTACCAATGGAATTTCCCGAATTGAAAGGTGATCGAAGAGATTGCTTGCGTGGAGACCCAGGTTGGACAAAAGAAGTAGAGAAAGATCCCCTACTCGTTGGACTGACGATCTTAAGAAAATGTCAAGAAATTGGATAAAAAGTGGTCAGGATAAAACGGAGTGGATAAAAATTAGAAAGACCTATGTTTAGCAGTTTACGCAAAGAAATGTGTAATGGTGACAATGATAACAATAAAAAATAAATTTACTCTACTCAATAATCGTGTAAAAAAGATGATTGCAAGATGGAGACATTGTCAGTATAGAATAGAAAGAGATCAAAAGGCTTTTGAGGTTAGAAATTAAGTTAAAATTATGGAAATCCTTAGTACGTAGTAATATAACAATAAAAAAGTACATCATAAAATTAAACTCGATTACAGCACAAGAAAAATATGTCAAATATAAAATAAAACAAAGAATGAAAACAAAGTGCTAGTCAAAAAATCAGCAGACAAGTTCTACTATGCCTTGAGATAAATAAGATTATCAAAATAGATATCTCAATTTATTTAAATTGCAAGACTTTTTACACCTGTAAGTTGTCAATTCAGCGTACGTATCCAATGCTTTTAGACGTATATCTAAAACATCACAGAAAAGTAGTAATTTTATAGTAAGAAACACAATTTTATATTTTGCATATTATTAAATCAATGCGAAAGTACTTGGAATGGATGGAAAAAAATAAATTGAAGATCAAAAGTTTAATAATAATAATCTTAATTTGCATTATTCCATTTCTTTGACATCTTGACGCTATTTGTGTAACTTACCCTAACATTGTAGTTAGCAGCAACGTAAGCGCAGCTACCAAGTGTGAGGATCCAACTTTTGGAAAGAACCACAGCACCACATTCTGGGAAACAAACTGGTGTATCGCATGATTCCAATGCTACGATAAATGGATATTCGTTTTGATCAGCGTCTCGGTCCAAGACTGGAGAAGGTGCTAAACAATTAGGAATATTAACTGTTAAAATATCACTGACATATAAAATAGACACACAAAAAAGAAGTTCTGTTAAAACTTTGTTGCAAAACAAAATGTCATAGATTATTCTTGTTAATAATTTTATTTGTAACTTACCTACAGTTTGTAGAACTAAACACAGAACTAGCAAAGCAATCATATTGTATGCTGTCAAGGTACAATACCAATATGTTTCAGTTTAATATATTTATAGGTGCTAAGATTATATCTAAAGTGAGGTACTTTTTTAATATTGATAAGATTTTATAAGTGTTATAATAATAGTACAATTTTAACCATCTGGTGTATATATTTTAAAATATTAAACAGTTATATTATAAGGAAAATAAAAAAAAATATTTGGTAACCCAAAACTATCTCCTAACGATAATAAGTAATGAAAGAGTTTTATCTCCTGAAGGACTTCCATAGTACTTTTGAATCATGGACAAGCCTTTCTACTGAAACTTAAGTTTCTAGTTGCGCCTTGACAGGCAAAAAATTGCCACCAGAATGGGAAAAAGAGACTACTTATTAAACATTCATGGAAAACTCTCTTGTCTTCCAAAACCTAAAGATCTAAATGAATAGTTCGTTTTGTCATAACAAGATCCTTTTTCCATTCGTTATAAGACAAGTTGATAAATCTGAACTGATTCAAACAATCAGTAGTATCAAAAGCAAATCTTCATGTAGCACTGATGGACTGTTCATAAACATCATCTTAACTATCTCAAAAAATGTGTTGGAAGTCCTAATCTCACTAATTAGTAAGGGTATATCCTTTGAAAAGGGTATATTTTTAGAGTGTCTAAGGAGAGCCATTATTATTCCTTCTTACAACTGTGGTGAAAACTTGAATGTCTGCAACCATGGACCTATTATTGCTTTACTGCCAGTCCTATCCAAAATAATAATAGACTTTACACTGCTACTGTTTTATGTGACTATGCCAAAGCTTTTGATTTTGTAAATCACTACATTTTGATAAAAAAACTAAATTTCTACGAAATTCAAGGTATTTCTTTGAATTGGTTTCAATCTTACTTGAGGAATAGGAAACAACTAGGTAGACCAAATATTACTGACTCTTGTCACAAAAGAATTGTATATAGGGTACCACAAGGTTCAGTATGTGGTTATCTTATCCTTTCCCTTTTATTTATATATTTAAACTTATATATTATATACTTTTTCTTATCTTTATAAATGACATCACTACTCTAACCCTGCGTTTCACGGGTTAGGTCTGTCAGGCCCATTCAGTTCTTCTAATATCTCTATACGGTCAGCGAGTCTAAGTACGGTCCTGTCATAGCTAGCTATAATCCCTCAGTTACGAATGCGCATTGAAGTAATAATGTCGATGATATATTTGTTTTCGTTCTCTCAGACCCAACCCGTTCCTTAATGTAAGTTTTTTTTTATGAAGGTACAAAACAAAATTTGCAGTGTATTGTTTTTAGAGCTTAGCAAAACAATGTATTCTTATGAAAGAGAGGCAAAACATTTGCAACGTTTCTACGAGGAAGTTGCAACTGACGAGGAAGAATTATGAACATTCAGATTCCGATGAGTCTATAGTTGGCAACTTAGAACATGAAGATGCTAATCATAACTCAGAGTCTGAATTGGATGTATCAGACACCGAATTAAACGTACAAGAATGTATTCCACAAGGTAAGTCAAACCACTTACCAGGTATTCCACTTTAAAAGAACTAGGTTTTCAGTTAGTGATGGACAATATGAAAGCAAAAGCTGAATTTCCTCATTTGGCATAAGATATAAGATATAGCCTCAGCCGGCTACGCAATAATATCTGTTTCGAAGGAAATCAATTGAGCATCTTCCAAAATATTATATTTTTCTTTGTTCCATCTTCGATATGGCCTTCCTTTTTTTGATTTTAGTACAACTGCCCCAACTTAAATCTACAACTTTTTATCTTAAGTTCTGTAAATTAACAGAAATTTATTTATTTGGATGACTATATTATTTAGTGGAAGAGTTTGTTAACGAATAACAGTAACAGAATACAAGCCAGGTCAACATGTGGACGGCGACTAATAAGGTTAGCAACCTACCAATCGTAAAAACGAATACTGCTCAAAGCAACAATGTACATACAGCTTTGGAACCGGATAGATACGATAATGCCCAGAGTAAGAAAAACGACCAGCGAAAAATATTCAAAACCCAGATGTGAATTACTACTTGGAATATCAAATTGCTTAACTAAAGGGACCAAGAAATTAATAACCCAAGTGGTGAAAGAGAAAGAAATACACATTCGTGCTTTACAGGCTGTACATATACATTAGCTGTAAGGTATTGATTATCATTATAAATATCCACTGGTCATACATGTGTCCATTACCACACCTGTGTAACATATCCGCACATAGACTATGATAAGTTCTGACGCGATTAAACGTCTTACGGGGTAATTAAAAACCTCTGTTATGCAAGGTAGAGTTCTTCTCAGAGCCTTCTTTTAGTAAGTCACCGTTTTTTGATTTCTTTCTAACGCACTAAATTGGATAAATTGACGGAAAAAGTTAACCACTATTCCGAAGTGTCAAAGTGAAGTGATCGTTGTCGTTCAGAATATTAAGAACCTGTGATTTCACACTATCTACTAAAACTGATGTTGTTTGATTCCAATATAAATTTGCAATTATTCGAACATCTCTGACGTCCAAGCCAATGTCTTTTAGACCTTCGATCAATATACAGTGCTTAACATGATCAAATGCCGTTTGGAGGTCCATAAAACAACAGTATATGTCTACAGATTTATCACGACATCTTTGAGCAAGTACGTTCATTCCAAGCAGTGCCTCTTTCGTTCCAAACTCGTTACGGAAACTAAACTGAGTGCCATCCAGGTATTCCTCGCATTTATTGTAGATACGACCATGTTTTTGCACCGAACCCTTCAAATATACAAACAGGGCTAAGTGAGAAAGTGAGTTATTTATTTTTTACCGAATTTTACATACATAACAACTTCTTATGTTTTACTATAAAGATTTAATAGTTTTTGCATAAATCTCCCGGATAATCCCACTTGAGTCAAGCACCAAATAAACTAAATAATAATTGTAACACACAAGTTTCAATAACTTTGAATAGTGTACACATCCTCTAATCAACTCATAATATGGTTGTAGTATATACATAATAGTTCTATGAATTGATTTAAGTAATCCATAGTTATCTTATCAATTAATTTGTGGTGTTTTAGTTCAACACCTTGAACATCTATCTATTGTAATTTATTTTAAGTTCAAGTCACTTATCTAATTAGCAATACCTACTTGTTGTTTGAGCTGTTTTTTAACAAAAAAAAACTAAAGACAATAATAATTAATATCTTTTAATATTGGCTTTATAGAAGGAAATGACTTGGTAAATGCTAATAGAGCTTAGATAAGGCCTTTTATAAAAAATATTTAAAAAACTATTTTCATCTTTATATACAGGGTGTTTCAAAAAGGTGTGTCATAAATTAAACCACACATTCCGGGGACAAAATGTTCTAGGCGAGATCTGGTTTGGATTGGACATTTTCCATAGGAAGCTATTTTTTTACTGAAATCCCTTCAAGATGTGCCCAATATTGATAATCACAATATGCGCCAGTCGCAAACCCTGTGCTAAATTTTTAATTTAATAAAATCTAAACAAATTGAAAATTTCTCATTTTCTTGGCTCCTATTTTCGTTTATAATTCGGAAAATATTAATCCTAGAGAAAAAATTATTAGAAGTTAAAAGTTTCGATATTCAATTTTACACAATATTTGGTTAGCTAAAAATTAAAAATTTAATGTTTATTAACTTATTAAACTGTTTATTCGGGCTGTTGGGCCGTTGTCTTCTGTTGAGATTAGTTCTCGACGTTTCGCCAACACTAGGGGTTGGCATCTTCTGGAGATGTTGATGCTTCGCTTGTAAGTAGAAACTACTTACTCTACTACTTCTACTTCTTCTACTTACAAGCGAAGCATCAACATCTCCAGAAGATGCCAACCCCTAGTGTTGGCGAAACGTCGAGAACTAATCTCAACAGAAGACAACGGCCCAACAGCCCGAATAAACAGTTTAATAAGTTAGACGATGGCCGTGAAAGCCTAACGCAATTTATTAATGTTTATTGTTGAAAAAATAGCCATAATTGGAAAAAATAGTACAAAAAAATGAAGTTAATCCTTTAAATGTTTTCGACTTACTAAACTTGACTTACAAGCTCCATATTCTGCCTAGAAAAAACTTTTTAATATGTTTAAAACGTGTGCTAAATTTTGTTAAGATCGTTTGGATAGGTTTTGCATAATAATTTTTCAATCCAGCCTACTGGGTAAAAATCGCAAATTTTCAAATTTGGAAACTCTGTACAAAGGTCAGAACTATGAGAGGCAATGTAAAAATTAGAAATACAGACGGAACTAATAAAAGTACTTAACATCTCATCCCGAGAGTGTGCTAAAAACCATTTAGACTACGATTGTGATAACTACTTTTGTCCTTGGTATGAAAATGCTATACAAAAACCGCAGTGAGCCGTTTCATCCACTACTGACCTGTTATTAACATCCAAAGCTAACACCCCAAATTCTTCATTTTCCTAATCAACTTCGTTACATAAAATATCGTAAGTTATTTTGATCGAGAACAAGAAATAATGTTAATTAAAGTACTACACAGGATTATTACCCACTTATTTCGTAATTATTATGCAAATTTTCAAATATATTGGTTGTTCCGTCAGTGAACAATCATCAATATCCAATGAGCGAACATTTGTACAGCTGTACTGTAAAATAAACCGAATGCACTTACGATATTAAACGTAGGAGGTACCGATATAGCTTGTAAAAACACACTGTGCGTAAATAGGTAGTTCGTTGACGTCTTAATTGTGACTATTAAGACTAATTTATTACTATTTTCCACTGAAACCTCTATATATTTCATGCAATATAACCTTTTGAAAATTTTTCAATTACTCGTGAAATTTTTAGTTATACAAACAGCCGTTTAGTTACTTAAATGTAGAATGAAACTTTTACGTTATTTAATAAAATATCTTAACGTCTGCAAATAACTTTCTTAACGAATTAAAGCCAAAATGTTGGAAATAACTTTTCAATAAGTTTGTCGTAACAAAATGTACGTCGAGAGAGGTATTGAAATACTCAAAAAGTTGGTTCAAGGAATGGCAGTGCACGTAATGATGATATACGTTATTGGAAACATAAATCTGGGGAGTTTGATTTGTGCCTGCGGTAGTTTTGGGTACATAATAAATCACGACGGGCAGACCTCCATTGGACCTGGAAAGCAAAACCGTGCTAGACTTATCAAGAAGGCAGATCGTGGATCGTGGCGATACAGAAGCAGGACCGGCTCTTATCTCTTTTTTATGAGATATTAGAAACACAAATGAGAGCCGAAGTAGATACTTGTTACTTGATACCATAGACAGTGAAAAGAAGAAAGAAAAGCAGAAAGATATAATTTTCTTAAGCTAGTTTTGACAATCATTACGAATGGAATTGTATAATTCATTGGAAAAAAACAGGCAAAGACAAAGCAGATCCTCACAACAAGAAATAGAAATAACAGATAGGGAAATGAGACCATCCATAGAAGTAATCAAAAATAAGAAAGCACCGGGACCTGGAGGCATCTCACTTGAGCTCATCAAGAGCTCAAAAAATACACCGGATGATAAAATAAATAGTTCATAATGCCATAAATGAAGAACAGCTTTCAAAGGAATGGACGGAGCTATATTATGACATCTGTATCTAAAAAAAAGAGACAGAAAACGATGCGAAAACTACTGAGGAATAAGCGTAATATTATCAGAAGGAAGATTATATGGGAAAATACTGCAAAAAAAGATAAAGCAAGCGATAAAAGTTAACATTGGGAAGGATCAGGTAGCATTTGGCATTTGTGGACCTAAGAAGGGAGCATAACTCCTTACCAAAGTCAGAACTATGGAAGGCAATGTAAAAATTAGAAATACAGACGCAACTTATAGAAGATACAAAATCTCTGTATAAATAAAATAAAGTGTCCATTTAAATGGACATCATAGGAACCTTCACCTCAACAAAAGGGACCCTGAAGGGTTGTTCTACATCTACAACCCTATTCAAAATATATTTAGAGAAAGCCTTGACTACATGGAAAAGAAAATGGGAAGGAATACGAATACCTATATACGTTAAGTTTTGCAGCTTTGTAGACTATCAAGTAGTGATTGTACAAGACCAAGAAGACCTAAGTTATATGATAAAAAAACTACAAGAAGAATATACCAAGACTGGCCTAATTATTAAGTAAGAAACGCGAAAACAGAGTACCTATCTACAAGTGAAAAAGACAGAAGATCTACAGATTGACGACAACATAGCAATCAAAGGAAAGGATAAATATAAATACTTTGGATTTATAATGACGAAAAAGGCAACAACAGAGCAAGAAATTGAGCAAAGATTAGTATAAACAAGAACAGCAATCCAACAACTTAACTCAGTATGATAAAAGAGACACCCAAATTTGAAAAGAAGAATACAGATTTATAAAACATTAGTGTGAAGTATTATGACATATGGGGCTGAAAATTGGATTATAAACAAGAAAAACAGTAGTAACGTAGCAA